AGTTGTCAAAGAGTGGACGGGCTTAAGCTAAGGTCTATTGGCTCTAAGGGTTTAGACCATTCGCGGTTCCTTTAAGGATTCGGCGTAAGGGTAGGTTTGGTGGCCTTGGGGCTTCTGCTGAAGGTAACATCCGGAGCAAGCCTTTAGCTAGGGCTTGACAAAGTAGGCTTTCTCAGAGGGTTCACCTCCCTTTGTAGTAGATACTTTGGCCTGGTTCCTGTCTAGTAGCCTCCGTGCCAAATATCTTATCTATATACTTCTATACTGCAAGGATACACAAGTCCTATAGAACCCTAGACGCTAAACTACTGGAACTCTCGTAATCCGCAAAGGCTAGCCAACAAAAGGGAACCTTTGAAAGAAACCCTGCAAACGGAACGCTTGGGGTGCTTGGCTTCGGAGGACTTCGAGTTCTCAGCCGTAGTCTGCGAGCTTTTCAGCGTGTGAAGCACAAAGCGGTGCAGGGTTGGGGGCTTAAGGACTTAAGGGGCTAGTGTCAGAGTTTGGAAGAGTCGGACAGAATTCAGTCTCTGGGGGGCCCCGCCCGCCAAGACACTACGTTGGATCCTGGTATACCATATCCCAGTACATATCCTATAGGCAAAGAGGGAAGCTTAGCTTGGACTGATTCGAAAGCCCCGAACCCCTCTTTCCTGTACGTGCCTCCGGCTGATTGCTGTCCACTTGGAGACTGGAGGCCGACGATCCTTCGGATCTTCATAGTAGGGAGGCGGAGACTAACAAAAAAATATGTCTGAACCTTCAGAGCTACATGTCGGACGACTCCAGGGTATGGGTATGCCCACAACCAAAATCCATCCATCCCAAAATCTTCAAAATTTCGGACTGAAATCCGGAAGCCCTCAAATTTGTCGGATATTGTAGGAACCTTGGTCCTGGAGCGGCCTGGGGCTCAGAAGGTTTCGTTCGCGTGAAAAGCACACCAACAACGAGCTTTGAGATAGGAGCTAGACTGCAATTTTGTTGTCTGACAACGAAGAAAGGTTTCACTCTCTTAGGACCAAATCCAGTCGACGCCCCGGGATGCTCCTTGGGCCTGCAGCTGCTGGCAGACCTGCAAATAAGTTTAAGCTTATGGCATCATGGATTCGGCAGCACCAGGTTGGCTGAAGCCGGGCGGCAGCGAGCGTCGCGGAGGCAGCTAGTAGAAGTATTGGTATACGGTTTGCACCATCGCTCCCATAAGCGATAGGGATGCCTAGCAGTGGAAAAGCATGTCGTCTGAGCTAGGGACGTAACTACACCAGACAGGACAGAGACCCCAAACCCAATTGCCAACGCACCGAAAATACGATGTAGCTATACAGCATAATCCTTGGGCACTTCGCATGTTAGGACCCCAACTCCTCCCTCCTCACCGGCCCTCATTCCCCAAGATGATGTTGTATGTCCGTCGACTACGTCGCATTGAGCGATACCTCTGACTCCCCGGAGACTCTAAGTCACCAAGCGGCTTCGGGTGCTAATCGGGTTCCAAACAAACCTAAACTAAACTCAAGAAACGACAAGCCTTTTCAGTCCTACCCTTTTCGCCTTCGCATCTCGAAGCCCAAAGTTCGGCAAAAATTCTATAAGCAAGGAGGGCTCTATTCATAAGCATGAGAACCTGCAGGAGACACGGAGAGGCCGCAAAACAACGAGCGAGTCCGATACCTTCCTTCACCTTTGTCTAAGCCCTCATTGAATCCTGAAACCTACGCAGAAGCTAAGCAAAAGCCCTACACCCTGACACCTTTCAGCTAAACATCTTCTGAAGCTGGGCTCTTCCCGCACCTCGCTGCTCAGTGGCGCCCTCGGAAAACTGCGGCTCGCTTGGGTGCCTTTGCCGGGCCGCAGAGTGGTCCTTGAGACATTGTGGTCTCTGGAACTTCACGTAAGCTGAGGGCTTTCGGTTGGTTTGAAATTGAAAACAATGTCGTGAAGCTTACATACATATCTTGTAAAGGGTTTAGGGCCTCGGGCTTAGGCGATTCAGCCTTTGAGCTTTGTGGGCGTGCTTCCACATGATGTTGCTCTCGGCTTTCTGCAGTGACTTCAGAGTGAATTACTTAGAGAAAGTTGGCTCTGAAGACTTACGCCCATGAACCGAAGGTATTGTGCATCCAAGGTCACTACGCAAACAGCGAAGTATGCCTATAGCTAAGACTCTGAGAGTATCCAGTTTGGCGGCAGCGGGGAAAGGAACCGTTGACAGAATCTGTTTGCAAGGTCTTGGAGAGCACAGCGCTTGCTTTATCATCCGGAGTAGCTTACCGGATGTGCGAGATTATGATATGATATGCTCGGCTTAGCTGCTATTCTTCGTTGCTCTACTGCCGAAACAACGCACTGCCGGTATGCGACAACCGGTACCAAAATTCGGCAACCCCACGCTATAAAACTAAGAGCCCTAAAACTCCACACCTTGAAGTCTTCGAACACCCTCGACGGCAAAAGCCAAGCACCAAACACGACAGTCACGACACACTGAACTTGAGACGAAAACAGCGAAGTGCCACAACAACACATTAATGACGCATGTCTCAAGCCCAGACACCCGACAAAAGCAACACCGAACTGTCGAAAATCTTACACACTCACTGTTGTGGTGGAGTGTGCTGATGCCATGAAGCACCTAAGACTCCCCAGACTCGGTCTAGTCCTTGCAGTCGTTGCGTCAGAAGCAGAAGCCCTTTATGCTTCAAGGCACATACATCGCAATCGAATGGTGTTGATCTCCGCGTAAAGCCCGTACAAAATCACTAGCAACCTTCGCAATGCTTTCTTGCCTAATCGAGCTGACTTACTCGTGGCTTTCTGGTAATTGACCCAATCCTCGCCCTCGCTCGCCGCGGGGGCCGGGTTCAGCAAACCCTGCCCAGCGATATCTTGTCGGCTTTGGAGCTTCCTAGATCTTACGGTCATAAACAGGGTTATGGGCTTTCTAGGCAAAGGGTGTCTGCAGGACCTGAACCCAAAGGACACTCCTGCCAAGGGCGCATCAGGGCTCTGGGCAGGGCGTAGGGTCTCAGTGTAGAGCCCTAAACCCTCCCGAAACCCTAAACTCTGAAACCGCAAATAGAACTTCCAGTGTCTATCTATCTATCTATCTATATGTATGTATATTGTATATGCACTTGAAGACGGGCTTGGCCCCTTGGGACTGTAAAGCTTCAAACTGTGGGCTCTCGATTTCCCCTTTCTGGTCTATAGAAGCTTTCCAAGCATTCTAGGAACCATCTAGAACCCTGTAGTAACTGTAGTATCCTTGTGGCCGTTGTGAAACCCTAGTCCCGCATAGAACCCTCGCTAGAATCCTTCCAGGCCGGCCTGTGTTGATTCCGGGAGACACTGTAAGCCTTTGTAGAGGGGGAGCAGAGACTCAGCCTGTTTAGAACAGCTTTTCTTGGGACATAGAGCAAGACTACACGGGGAGTGGATGCTATTGCTACTAATTCTGACCCCTATATTGTGCGAGCTCGTAGCCCCCAATCGCCCAGTTCTCCGAGCAGCTTGACTCAAGCCCGAATCCAAACCCAAACTTGAAAAAACGAACCCCGAACACGAAGCGCTGAATCTCAAGCCCGAGTTTAGGTTTCAGAAGGGATGTGGGGTTTCCGGTCCGAGCCTGAAACCTCAAGCCAGAACCTACTCTAAAACCTAAAATCATCGGCGGACCTTGAGGAAGGCACTATTGAGAGCAGTCGCCGCATCCTGTCGGAGGTCGGGGTTTAAGGGCTTAGGGGTTTAGGGATTATATATGGCTTGGGGGTAGGGTAAAGGGTTCTGTGACCACAAAGTCGTATAGCAAGGGGGTATCAGGCAGCCAGTCGAACAAAAGTGCTTCCGGGGAGCCTACTGCATAAGCGCATTCAGGGTTGACAGGTTGACAATCTAACAAACCAAAGGCCGCATGTTATGCATTTTTGCATATGATTGTATGTACCATGTATGCATGCGCGTATGTATGTATGTATGTATGTATGTATGTATGTATGTACGTATGTACGTATGTACGTACATATGTTATATACAGATAGCTCGCTAGCACAGATTTGCATTACACCCTTGCATACCCGTGCAGAACCCCGAGTTGCGAAATGCTAGACCCGAAATCCGATCCCCTCTCCTGGTCGTGTGCCATGCCCGAACCCGAAGGCTCAAGGCCTCGAGTATCCAACTGGTAAGTGGGGGTTTAGGGCTTACGGTTCAGGGGTTAGGGTCCAGGGAATGAATACTACACAAAGGGCAAGTTGATGCAAAAGGTCTCCCAACAAGTGAAGCCAGCATGCCTTAGCTCCCATCCCGCCTGAGCCATCTGTTGAGCGTGCTGCTCTTGAGGTGTAGATCCTCCTTAGCGTTTCGGGTTTTAGGGTTTGGGGGTTAGGGCTGTCGATTTTTAGGTTTAGGCTTTGAAGCGTTCCTTACATAACGCTTGGCACGCCCTCTCCAGACACCCAGATTGCTCAGCAAATGTGAAACCAAATCTGCGTGTACGAGTGTGTAGGACTAAGTTAAAGCGGGCAGTGTTTAGAACCGAAGTGAAGGACGGCAAGGACGGATGACAGTTAACGGCTGGGGGTTGAGGCCTAGGAGGTCCAAGGACGGATCTATGAAAGTAGGGACCACAGAAACACATAGACTTGAGGACTGTGACAGTTTATCATGCGGATTCAGTTAGGACCCCCTTCGCCTCTTTTGGGCTATGGC